GATAATCGTAATAATCATATTATATACTTCGCTCTAAATAGACACACTTTTGTTTAAATATTGTGTACATTTTTTCACTTAGAGAGTTGAAAACAGTTACGATGTCGGTTACGGTTCTTGAAACAGTTATGAAGAACCGAAATGTTCTCGTAACTGTTACAAAGTACAGTAATGTCTCTCTAATTGACGCTGAAATTGTCCACAAAAATCGGCAATTTGGGAAGAGGGGCTGCGATTATGTGAGCCTCGCGGCTCGTTTTTATAGTTCATTTTTATAGTTATCAACAACTATCGTATCTCCTCCTCCCAAATTGTCCATTTTTTCTTCCAAGCTGAGCGTCAATTAGGGAGACATTACGGTACCGTAAATTCTCCCTAATTGACGATCAGCTTGGAAGCAAAAATGGACAATTTGGAAACAGGGGATTCGATTATGCGAGTCTCGCGGCTCGTTTCTATAGTTGTTAACAATCAATGACTATAAAAGGCTCGAATAATCGTGTCTCCTCTTCCCAAATTGTCGATTTTTATGCACAATCTGAGCAGCGCCATTTAGGAAAAATTTACTTTACTTTTCGATTTCCGTTCGCTTAACACTCGATTTACGCAGCACAAAAAAAACACAGATGTTTTATATTAATTTATAAAAGTAACAATAAGACATTTATTCTGATTTTCAACTTATTCTGATTTGTTATTGTAACCTTTACAAAACCTTGACAATTTGGGAAGAGGAGATACGATTATTCGAGCCTTGCGGTTCGTTTCTAAAGTTGTTAACAATCAATAACTATAAAAGGCTCGAATAATCGTGTCTCCTCTTCCCAAATTGTCCATTTGTGTGCACAATCTGAGCGCAAATTAGGGCGAAAATTTACTATACTTTTCGACTTCCGTTCGCTTGACACTAAATTTACGGAGCACAAGAAAACAGCTGTTTTATATTAGTTTATAAAAGTAACAATAAGACATTTATTCTTATTTTCAACTTATTCTGATTTGTTATTGTAATATTTGCCGTGAGTAGCATATAATTCGAATAAATAACTTATAAATATATCCTTACGATACGAACGATCGCAAATTAAAAAATCAGTGACCCACCATTTTGACGGGTTCCGTAAATCTAGTGTTAAAGAATTCACGCGTTTCCAGGGGTGTCCCCTATTTCTGAGGTGCCCTGTACGTACGGTTAGACGCACGGTACGCCGCCGAGGATTTTCAAACCTTCCCCCGACATCTAACCCCGCCGGTCTACCGACGAAAAACGGCTAGACGGCACTCCGGGTCGGTACTAGAGGGTGTAATACGTGTAGTAATGTCTCGTCGACCGTGCGATTATTCAGCGATTACGCAGTAAATTACGTTTGCTCTGAACTGCGGGGAGCGCGATAACCGTTGAAGTTTGATCTTGAACTCAAAAACAGCTGATCGTGAAAGCATCCATCCAGGTACATCGCCAGGCCGCAATTTATTTCCTATTAACCGTTAAGTGTACCGAACGTTTTAAACTCGATTAGTCCATTAAACTCCGTAACGGCGCACTGTTTACTTGCGAGGAACGTCGGCCAAAGTCAGCTCTGGTCCAGTTCGATTTAATCGGTTCGTTCGATAGAACGAAATGTTCGCGGTGGACGATGAAATAGTGGTATTTTATATTATACAAGGTATCGCAAAAATGTCTCGCAATTCGGAAACGAGGGGTTTCCCGAGATCATTTGAAGGAACTTTTTCCTTAACGAAAATGCGATCCGCCGCTTCGTTTACGAGTTATTAATGAAAAACACTGACCAATGAGAGGTCGCGTACGACTGACGCCCCGCCCTCGTGACCACCGCTCGCGGCATTGGCCGCGAGGGCGGAGCGCCGACCGCGCTCGCTCTCCGATTGGTCAGCGTTTTTCGTTAATAACTCGTGAACGAAGCTGCGGATCGCATTTTCACTGAGGACAAAGTTACTTCAAATGACCTCAAGAACCCTCCATTTCTGGATCGCGAGACATTTTGAGACACCCTGTATTTAGATAGCGACATTTGGACACTTTCAAAATATTGGAACGATTCTTGTAACAATCGATAGTCTGCGTCTATTTGATGGACCCTGTTGCTTCGGTTGATATATATATATATATATATATATATATATATATATATATATATATATATATATATTATATACATATATTAGTGCAATAAAAAAGCATTAATACAATATATCGTATATTTCAAAACGATCTAAATGATTTTCATTTTGTATTATTGTTGTATGTCTCCGTTGACTTTCGAATAATTTAGCTGAAAATATCGTAACACGCCGTGAAATAACTGGCATTACGTACACAAAAGTTGAAAGTTCAATTAAAAAGAAAAAAAGATATCGCGCGCTGCATTGCAACAGATTTGAAATCGTCGTAAATAATATTTTCGGTATTTCGAACCTGGGAATCGCCACATTTTTCTGCAGTATCTCGAAGCGGTTCATTTAACGCGCGTAAATTTCCCGCCGGACCATTGATATTTGCCAAAGTTGTAAAATTTTATTGCCGCGCATGATTCGACCGCGAGATATGCGGCGGACCGTGTGCCGATACAACTTACAATTTTATTACGCTTGAACCATCCCTGGAACTATCAATTGAAAAATATGTATCCGAATGGGCAGTTGATATCAGGATTTCGACAAACGCAGACTGTAATTCCGACGAAGCTCCATTTTTTCTACGAAGCAGATTCAATTCGATTTGAGGGGGAAAAAATGGTTGTCGATTATCTTCGAGCCGCATTACCGCAAAATTGTGCGGCAGCGAAAAATGAAAACGCCGCGAACGATTCGCGTTAACCTTTTGAGCTCTGAATACTCCTGGCCGAACCAGTTCGTAGGGACGGAGCGCGGCTATCGCTGACCATCGCTGGGGGCGGAATACTTTTTTGCCACACCGAAGTGACTATTCAAGGCGTAAACAGTAATAAATTACAGTGATTCTTTCGCAGAAGGTTAAATAATTAATCTTCTGATTCAATGTCCGATGATAGTGATTCACTATATTCTATCTCGCTGTCGTCCCTTGTGAAATATTCCTCAAGATTTGACATTTTGTAGGGTGTCACGAATAAAAAAAAAAATCGAACAAGTTATATTCGGCACTATCGTTGTTGATGCGAGCGAGACCGTGAGGTTCTTACATTCGCAAGACGATACTGCTGACTGAGTCGTTTTGAGTGCTTTGAATCGCGAAAAGGTGACAGTGCGGGTAATTATTTTGAAATCTAATTGGTTAGAGAGTGGGACATAAAATGGGATTTCCGTTTCGGAAATTCCCGGGGATTTTTATGACCTTAATATTGCCCAACCGCTACCTAAAGAAGGCAAATTACTAACGAGTGCCCCTGTATTAATTTCACACGAAAATGACTGCATATCGATTGAAAAAATCGACAAACGCATATATGCGCCCTTTGTCCAGTCCGATGACTTAGAGAAAACACATAAATGCGGCCTTAGACTACACGGATGACTTTCGCCAAACGCATATATGCGTCCATAGGGCTCTAAGGGTTAATCAATTTGAAATTAACATACCATTAAAATATAACGAAGATAAAAGCACTCGTATGATTTTTAGAAGAAAAATACGTCTAAACAATCGTGCATCTCATCTCGACAAATAAAAAGAAAGCTGAGACACGTTCGTGACGTTGATAAAATACAAATTTCATTTGCAATATTTAGCATCGGTAAAAATGATTTATTTAATTATTGCAAAAATTGATAGTTATATAAGTCGTTGTGAGGAACGATGAGGATTTCACTTCGATCGTTTCACAGAATTGTATTTTTCCGTTTTTGAAAAATCGCATCTGACCACCGAGGCGGAGTTTTCGAAATTTACAGGTTTAGATACGAAAAGATACGTTTCGACAGGATCTTTTCGACACACGCCTCGCTCGTGCACGCAAATTCTATTAAAACATCCAATCCCGCGATAGAGAGCGCTAGATTCGACGGACTTATCCGAAATACCGAGTTCAGTTTTAGAAGTTTCAATCCAGCTTAACCGTCCTGTTACTGGATGAGAGATTGCTGCGAATGTGCTGGCTCTTAATTCTTAAAACGTTTCGTTGACGAGCTCTTCGAATGTAATTTAGTAGATGCACGTAGAGCGACTTATATCCGTCGTACTAACGGAGTTATGATTTTCTAAAAGAATATGCGACCTACAATTTTTATCTCTTGCAACCGAGGATTAAAAGAATTCCAAAAGTAACTGTTTCTAACTATTGTAAACGGTGTCCCGAAAAGGTTCCTCAGGTCATTTAAAGTAACTTTTTCCTTTGCGAAAATGCAATCCGCGGCTTCGTTTACGAGTTATTAACGAAAAACGTGGACCAATCGGAGAGCGAGTCTAGCCGGCGCTCCGCTCTTGCGGCCAATGACGCGGCGCGTGAGCGATCCTGGGTAGAGTTTTCGTGCCGAACAAAAAACTTTTCGTAAAAATACAAAAATATTGCGCAGAAACTGCACGCGTCGACAGTTTTTTAAACTTTGACATTAATTTATTGCTATTTAGGACCAAAAACAATCAATAAATTGCATGCCACTGTATTCGGGAAACTCTCCTCTATCTTTCAACACCAATTAGAACTTTCTAACGTTTTCACTTTACACGCGATACCTCATTTTCGTCGAAAATTTTGGGTTTTTACAAAAGTTCGTTTATTTAAAAAACTGAGGGCGATGGAGCAATTCGGTTTTCGGATTCTTGTTCAGGGAGTAAAGCTCTACAAGAATTTCATAGTAGCTATAAGAACCCAAATATCGTGTCGAACAGTGTAATTCGAATACTGCGCGCCGCGGCGCGAACAAATCGAGCCGAGTCGCGTCGCGTCCCATCGCGTCGCGTCGAGGCGAACGAAAACATTGGCGACCTAATGTATGCCCCCCCGAAATCACTCGTCGGCCAAGATGAATGGTGTAAGAGCTTTAAATCCTTGTCGTTACAGCTGCCCGACCACAAGTGCAGCGGCATGCACAAGCCCCGCAACCAGGAGACCTGCAACACCATCTCCTGCCCCATGTGGGAGACCAATAAATGGAGCGAGGTGAGTACACGTGAACCTTGGATGCCGGAACTGCGACCCCTGCGCGGGGGCCGTGAACATGCAAAACCGGGACGAGCAGTTGCTTCCTACAGATAGACGAGAGTCGTTCGCTTGATGCTGGAATTTAGGGGCTTTAGACGCCATGGGGAAGGTGTATTTATTGCCTACCGCTCTACCTTGCCATGGCTAAGGACAGCCGTATTTATTATCGCTTTAAGATGAACCTGAATCGAAGGAGTCACGGACTCTCGGCCCTATTCTTCCCCTCGAGAACTATCGTAAATTCTCTCGCCGTTTGTCATTCGGCTTGTAAACGAGAATGGAAAGAATTTAGAAAAAGGGGAACAGGTTTTATAATACTGTATGAATTCAATCTTCTCGCTTCTACGGGATGTCCCAGAATTATGAGACTTGCGAGAAATGACGGGTTCCTGAGGTTATTTGGAGCAACTTTTTCCTTTGCGAAAATGCAATCCGCGGCTTCGTTTACGAGTTATTAACGAAAAACGTGGACCAATCGGAGAGCGAGGGTGGCCGGCGCCCCGCCCTTGTGGTCAATGCCGCGGCGGCGGTGGTCGCGAGGGCGGCGCGTCAGTCGTACGCGATCTCTCATTAGTCAGTGTTTTTCGTTAATAACTCGTGAACGAAGCCTCGGATTGCATTTTCGCTAAGGAAAAAGTTGCTTGAAATGATCTCAGGAATCAGCTCTTTCCGGATGTTTACGCAATTATGGGACACATTGCGCAACTGATATATATATATTAAGTAATAATACTATACTATACTATATAATTATATAATAATTATATAATATATAATATACGAGTACTCCATTATATAATATATAATATATACGAATACTCTATTATATAATATATAATAGAGTATTATTACTACTATACTATATTTATACTATTTACACTATTATTACTACTATACTATTGTATAATATATAATAGAGTGCCATAATTTTAGGAGACCCTGTATATATATTCAGTTCATAAAAAAAGCAATCATCAAATGTTTTTACTAATTTGGCCGCGGCTATAAAACAATGGAATACCGTATACGTAAAAATTGAGCGATATTTCTACGATTTTCCACAGCGTTTTATAGTACGACTACGTGGAACGGGTTACGTTCCGATGAAGTTTGCAAACGCATTTTATTTTTCGTGCGATCGCGCGTCGCGCGGAGCGTCTTTCTTGCTCCGATAATCTCGCGGATATCGAAGGAACTGCTCCGAGCAGGGAAATTGATCATTTTTACGGGGCCGATAAAACGGGCATTTTCCCCGTTGGATAAACACGAGACGGTAATTCCTATCCGATCGGGGTTAAGGGTGTTACACGAGTTATAGGAACCTTTTGTCTCTTGAAGGGACGTTAACGAGGTGAGGCAGACGAACGTGTAACGTTTCTCCATCCAGTTATATCTGTCTATTCCGTATCAGGAAATCCGATTTCCTCCGGGAACAGTAAACAGGTCGGGCTCGCTGATTGTTGCAAAGGGAAATGAAACTCGTTCAACAATTTGCTTTGTGCCGGCTGGTTGTTTTGCCGTCGTGCCGCGCCAAGGCTAACATTCAATGCGGCGCTTCTTCCTTAATCGTCCGACAACTTTTCCACATGGGATCGCGGGCCGAAGTTGAAACTTGTCGCTCGAGATGCGGCGGAGTGTGCCGGAACTGCGGATTTTATGCATTTAAAGTGGCTTCGATCCCGCGACTTCGACGGTGCTAAATGCTTAGACGATTCGACGAGGTATCTGCGTACGTATGTTCCTTGGATTACAAGTGGAAAGAGTAACTTATTCTACGTCTCCAATTTCCGATAATACAGAAATAGTAGTCTCTCTAAATTGGACTCTGAAATCTCAAGAATTTTTTAAGAGAAAGTTTTTCGGTATTAACCTTTTGCACTCCGCTGTCCCCTCTCGTGGGACATCGTAATTCTAGCATATCACTCGGATGTCCATGGGACATTAAAGTTTATTAGCGATTACGGGAGGAATTGAGTTATTTCAGCGCAACTTTTTCAGACATACATGTTTGCTTGAAGTTTTCTCTTGAAACGGCACAAGAAATCAAATGAAAATATAGTAAAATTACTAAGATATATACAAGAAATGTCAGCGGGTTTCGACGAGAACGTGAGAGGCGTGCTCACGACGGTCCGAGCACTTCAAAGGCGCCATTTGAAAAGAGCGATAAGGCAAGTTTGTAGAAGAAAGGTCGGTATGCGAACATAGCACGCACTGTATAGTGAGATTTATAATCATAAAATCTGGAGGAAAAGATTTTCAAAGCTGAACTCGGTCTGGTTTGAAGAGTCGAGCGGCATAGATGGATCTAACGAGTGAGAAAATCGGAAAAGCAATTCTTTTCTTGGTAAATAAATTGTTTGGTAAAAGTTTTTTTGGTAAATATCATCTTGTGAGTTAGTAATAACAATTAGAAATTTTCAACCTATGTATTTATTCATATTTTTTATTAGAACAATGGCAAAACGTTCGAACACGAATGAGTCTCATGACACAAGTAGCAGCGAAGATGAGCTCCGGATAGACGTTTATACAAATATGTTAGAAAGACTAACTGTAGAAGGTTTTCTTTTCAGTTAGTCTATCGTTTTGATAGCAGCGATAGTGATATCGTCCAAGCAACAAGGCGACGAGAGAAAGAGTTCGCATAGATAGCGATTACAACAACAAAACAAAATTATAAAACAAACAATAACAAAATTATAAAAAATAA